TTTATAAATACAATAAATAAACTTTTAAATACACCTTTATTTGATTTATAATTTATATTAAGGTTAAAATAATGTTTACATCAATTATAATAAAATAATTAATTTTATTTCGATTCTAAAAATAAAATTAATTCTATTTTAAATAGTAAATATAAATTGAAAATATTAAAAATATTTTTAGGATTATAGAAATTAGTAAGAATGAAAAGTATGAAAACGCGTGCATTGGTTTTTCTTTACCGCTTTATTTTATTTTAGTCTAAAATGCGACTTATTACGAAATAATGTTCTTATATAGCACGCGATCTACCCAATGAACGACATGTAATGTAACGTGCTAAGAGATATAACGTGCTGTAAAACTTAACGCGCTTACCAGCCTCCTACACGTTTTCTTATAAATAGCGCGCTATAACATAGCGTATTTAATAGCGCGCTAGAAGTTTATAGTTTATAGTCTGTAGCGTGCTATTGATTTATAGTCGTTTTGAACAACTTTATGCAATACAATGGAGAAGCAGGACGCCGCCTGTTGCGCTCTCTGTCGCACTTACAGACATTACGTCAGACCTACCTGTCCTGTTTCCCCATTTTATAGCACCGAGGGCAGCAAATCTTTAACATTAGTATAGTAAGACTACTGGGAATTCTCTTCCCAAATAAACTGATAAGAGCATTGAGAAAAAAAAGTCTTAGTAGTTCAAGTACATGGAATTTGTCATCAATTATAGTCAACCAAATCTAAGAAATACCTTTTGACGTTTCACATTAATCATTCCGCAATAACTTTGCATAAGCGTACTCACATTATTTAAAATAACATTTAACGCAAATCCGAAGAATTATGAAGTGATCTATATTTCATTACAACGTGTATTGGTTTTTATCACTAATTTAAATTTGAATCTTTCAAACAAAGCAAAATATTAATAAATAACCAGTATCAACTTTTTTTACTTGACGTCATTTCAATGATATGTCGCTATGTATATTACCGTAGTGTTTGAACGATTAAAATTCATTGTTATGCGAATAATCGGCAAAAATATTCAAATAATCGGTAAAAATATTTAAATAATCGAATCATTAATTTTTTAATGTATTATTTGTTTAATTTAATTTTTTCTTTTAAAATTCCTTAAATTACATGAATCATGAATAAAACAAGTTTTTTTTTTTAAATTTGTCAACGTAAATTTGTGTAGGCAAAAAAACTCATATATAGAGCCGCGCTGAAAAAACTACTACGTAATTTCAATATCCCGCCATTACGCAAGCTTACTGTGCGTAATTTTGTGTTTGTCTTCTTATTTTGTGACTCGGCTTTAACTTTTTGGACTGTTTCTTCTATATGTATTCAGAATTTTTTTGCAGAAGATGGCCATTAGAGCTATTTACAATCTTAAACCGAGAGAGTCTTGAAGAAAAATTTAAAGATATAAATATATTAACTTTGGCCTCTCAGAATATCTATGAAAATTTGATGTATGTTCACAAAAATAAAGGTAGTTTTAGTAAAAAAGTGACATACACTCTGTAAACACTAGGAACAAACACAAGCTGGTGCTACCAGTTTCTCGACTCCACAGAGTCAGTAAGTAATTCATTCTTGGGTCAATGTATACGCTATTACAACAAAGTCCCACAAAATATACAAGGTCTCTATTACCAAGTTTAAATATTCAATTAAACAAAAACTCTATAAAAAGGGTTATTATTTAATTATGGTTTATGGTCCGATCTATACAAAATGAACTATGTCTTGAGGTCTTGCAGTGGTATGCTTGGGTTTAGTTTTAATTTTAACGAATATAGGGTCCCAAGCAGGTGGTAGTACCCAGCCTTATTCTCTATTGAAATTGGGATGATTTTTAATTTAAATAGCCTCACGTATTATCCTTGGTAGGAACCGGTGTTCTTTCGCGAGGATTTGTGGTCTATCAAATCTGATGTAATGGTTTGGGCCGTCTAGGATATGATCACAAACTGCAGACTTCCCGGAACGTTGAACGAACGGGGACACCGGTTCCTACCAAGGATGATACGTGGGGCTATTAAAATTAAAAAAAAACATTTTAATTTCCATAGAGAAGGAGGCTGAGTACTACCACCTGCTTGGGACTCTATAATCGATAAAATTAAAACTAAACCCAAGCATACCACCGCAAGATCTCAGGACATAGTCAGTTCATTTTGCATAGATCGGACCATAAACAATAATTTTAAAAAAAGCTGAAGGTACTCCGGGTTTAACAAAGACGTCAGTCACCTCAGTCCCCCTTGATCATGGGTGCTGGAAAGCACCCGAAACGTCTGAAATTAAAAATAAAAATAATTAAACGTGTAATTAAACGCGATAAAATCCGTAAAAGTAGTTTTAATCAATGGGTGCGTTTGGCAGAAAAAAGCGCTAGCAAGCGCTTGTAAGCAAAATGGCGATCGTAAGCGGTAAGCGCTGTCAAATCGTAAGTAGCTATTTTCCTCCAGGACACGATGTTAGTTTTAACCGGGGAATCTAACCTAATTTAAATATATGTTTGTAAAGTATTCATATTAAAAACTTACCAATCATGAGTTTTTAATAGCATGTATATGTTTATTCATGTCAATATATTACTTAAAACTAATATTGCACAAAACAACTTATAAACTCTACTTCAAAACAAACAATTTAAATAAGCAAAATGGCGGATTGTGTCAGCGCTACTGAAGTAGCAATCGTGTCCTGGCCGAAAACTATTTTAGCGCTTATAAGCGCTTGCTAGCGCTTTTTTCTGCCAAACGCACCCAATGTTTAGTGTTCGCGTAAATATAAGAAATCATTAAGAGACATTAATTTTGACTGCATTATTGAAAATCAAAAAATAATTAATCTAAACAACGACAGCTAAATTATAACATGTATATGTTTATTCATGTCCTTACATTACTAATGCTGAAAGTCATTGAATAAATTTTTGTAATCCGGTTTTAATCTTAAATTTTTATAACTGTGCCTCTAGAAATAAGCAGTAACAACAAATACGTAGAAACTGATAAATCTTTGGTTTTAAATTATCTGTTCCAAATTTATTTTGGTATTATTCAAACCAAACTGTAAATGATTACCAACTCTAAATAATCGATATCGATTTTTTTAAGAATCGAATATTGTACGTGCCAATTTTTTGGTTGGCATGCCTGGTGCAATAAGTCTGACAGCTGTCAAAATGTATTTCTTAGATTTGGTTGACTATAGGTAGTACTTTATTGTAGGAAAAGTACCAAGCAGGTATAAACTTGTTAGAGGCTGTAGGATAGTTTTAGTATGTATATTTTGTACACTAATACTACTTATATTGACTTATGTACGCTTGATCTGGGAACACGGCAGTGCCCCCGCTAAGTCGAGCAAAAAAGCGGCACGGCCGTACCATCTTTTCTCGAAGCAATTCAGGCCATTTTCGACCCCTTATAACTTCGTGGTAAATGAAACTAGAGGCCTGAATTTTCAGTAACCGAGTAAGCATTGTATAAACATGGTATATTTCAAATTTCATTCAATTTGAACCAGTAGTTTAAGAATTGTAACCAGTCAGTTTCTTAATTTTGTCACTCACTGACTGACCGATCATCAAAACTCTAAGGCACTTCTAGCAGACATAGAAGCTTCAAATTTAGAATACAATTAGTGTTTAGTGTATAAATTAGGGAAAAACTAAAACATTTGTTAATTTCTGTCCGGTTTTTAGGTACGCAAACTGCATAAATAACTTTGTAATCCCATATACATATATAGAATTACAAAATTACATTCGCAGTGAATAAATCAGTGTACTTGTATATGTATTACAGGTGTACATAGGTACGTTGTTGGTACTCAAGAAGTAGAAGGTACCGGAAAGGTAAAAAATTAGGACTATCCTATATACAAAAAGAAATGAGATACCATTAAAAACATAACTTGTAAAAAAACCAAGTCTCGCAACTCAGTTCTTCTACCGCAAAAAGTTGTGAGATTCATGTAATACCAAGTCGGTTAATTTATTCAGTTCCTACTTAAGGGTCCTTGTGTTTTAAGTTATTACGTAATTAGCTAACATAACAACATTTTATAGTGACCGTATCAATTTTAAAAGTCTTTTATGTTTTAAATATATAGATTGACTTGGCAATCGCATTAAGCAATCTAATTTAATATAATACGTATTACTTGTGAGATACATTCTGGTTTCATGCGATGGCCAAGTCAATCTATATATTTAAAACATAAAAGACTTTTAACATTGATCACTATAAAATGTTGTTAGGTTAGCTAATTACGTATAACTTAAAACAGAAGGACCCTTAAGTAGGAACTGAATAAATTAACCGACTTGGTATTACATGAATCTCACAACTTTTTACGGTAGAAGAACCGAGTTGCGAGACTTGGTTTTTTTACAAGTTATGTTTTAATGGTATACTTCTTTTTTCGACAAAATATATAAATAGGGAGTTCACCTGTGCTTGCGTATACAATCGGACACTACAATTCTGTCTGTGTGTGTGTGTGAAATATATATTTTTTCATTTCTCAGACATGCAGATTTCCTCACGATGTCCTTTTCCGCAGCTTTAACAATTTCATTGGTGCTAGCAGGAATCGAACCCGGGTTGCTCGCGTATTGTAAAACGCGTACTGTGAAATTTACAGCGAGAGGTAATCCACTGAGCTACCACGGTTCACTACACTTATTTACAAATAAATATATTAATTTACTAACCAAAGTTCGTTTAGGTAATTTTATTTCATAATCTTTCAGACGAATCTTGATCAGTTCAAATATTTGGGTAGGATGATATGTATAGCCTTTTCGTTAAACAGCGCGAATAAATGAAGTTCGCGCGTTTTGATGTATATATCAATACAGTTATTGTAAGAACTGTGCATAATATGTAAGTACTCCCTGCGCTTGTGAATTTGCACATGCGAATGAGCGACACAAGTATAAGGGTGCGGGTGGCACGGCACGGTGCAGGGCGCGGCACGGAGCGATGGCGCGACTGGTGCGGTGGCGCGGGGGGTGCGGGCACAGGGGGCGTGGGGGGCGCAGGGGGTGCGGTGGACGCGGACGACGAGCTCACGCCCCCCGCGCACCGCCGCCTCGCCAAGTCGTTCAGCGTCGCCTCGCGACCGCGCGACAAGCTCGCCGAACGAAGTACGACGCACGCCGTTATACGCTTTGTGCTCATCGCATCACGGTGGATTGTTGCTTGTATTTTGTAAAAGGAATGCGTGCTAGATTGTATACTGTTGGCTACGGATTTAATATGTTTTGTGTGCTTCGGTGTAATTTTTGCTTATAATTGCAATGTCTTGTGTTATAACGCTATAGTGAACTTTTCGAATGTACGTGTTTTTTTTTTCCTTCATCTATTTAGGAAATCGTAGAGCTTGATGTTGTAAGAGGTAATCTGCGAACACAAGATCTAGAACCATTAACAAATGGCTGAATAACCATTTCAAAAACATTTAAAACTTGAGTCATGCGGCAGCATCAAGTAATTACGATTATTTCCAACTCAAATAAAAATATAAGAGGTTTATTAACAAATAATTTATTAAAATGTGTCTAAACACGCATTAATTACATCATTTTAAATGAACGGTTATTTCAACCCCGTTCTAACACTAACGATAGGCCGCATGATTGAATGGTTCATATTTATATCATTACTTATGTTAAGTATAAAAATAGGTGTAATATTGAATAATAGTATTTATACGGATTTTATTTCATTTAATTAACTCCTTTTTCATTTCCAATGTTTCGGCTGCTTTACAGCACCCATGGTCACGGGGGGGAGGGGCTGAGTTGATTGACGTCCCAATGTTAACACGTTAGCCCGTCTATCTTTAGTTTATGAATATTAATGTCGGATCTACGCAGAACGAGCTTACTTAGTGCAGTGGTATGGTGAGATTTGGAATTAATTTTGTTAATTGTAGAATCCCACACAGATGGCAGTACCCATCTATCTTCTGTATTGAAATTAGGATATTTTTTATTTTTTGAATCCTTGGTAGGAATTAGTGTTGTTTTGCGAGCATTTGTGGTTTGTCAAATCTGATGTAATGGTGGGGATGGTCTTTATGTTCACGGACTATAGACGTCCCGGAGCGTCCTTCACGCGACTTTTTATATATCTTTTTAATGGAATTAATTAAACGCGATACAATCCGTATAAATAGTTTTATACAATGTCTAGGTTTCGGGTAAATATGAGAAAAATAATTTTTTCATTTTTGTGATTTTGTTACACGTACATAAAGCATGAACGCCACATACATTACGAAAAGCTTTGCATTGTGACAAATAATTGTAAACATACTAAAAACTTTAATACTGTTAACGTTAAAATAAAATTTAATGTTACACCAATTGAAAGTGTAAACAGCAATGTTACTTACGTGACAGGCACGCCGCGTACTTCCCTGATCGGTTTGACAGGAAGCCGCCCGTCGAGCGTGGTTCCAACAACGCCGCCTAATTCTATATCGTCTCAAGGTACGTTGAAAAATAAACTTAATTGTGTTAACATTATGATGTATAATCGTATATTTACACTCTTATCTTTGAAAATGAGATATGATGTGTGGTGATCTACAGAAAAGTACTTGTCATCGCTACATAGTATAAAACAAAGATCTTTTAAACTACGCAACGGATTTTGATACGGTTTTCATCAATAGACAGAATGATTCAAGAAGGTTTATAGATGAGATGGAAGACCAAGGGTTATCAACCACTAAAACCCCGAAGGCGGTGGGTAGTCATGAGGAAAACGGAGAATTAATAAACATTACCGTTACAGCCTCTCACAGTCTTCTGCTGAACATAGACCTCTTCCATAGATTGACTGGAACATATTTGCCATAGTTGGCACGCTTGGCAAGCGGGTTGGCAACTGCGGGATTTTATTTTTACACGTTATTAGGAAGGCGCTGCTGCCCATCTCTTGATTTGTTTCACCTTGTCGCTTCTTACGACACCCACGGAATGATATAGGGTAGTGGTAATTAAAAAAATGACTCAATAAGTAATTTGAAGCAACAGTAACCTAATAAAAAGTCGTAGGTTCGAATGCACGATTCGACTACTGTCGTGAACTCCACTCCTAACACAAGCGTTTTAAGCTTACCAAGAGTGGTTAAAGGGAATATTAGTAATGTTAATTAATAGGACTACTAATATTTTACTAAAAAAAAGTATTATACAATAATCTATATTGAATAAAAATAATTTCATTTCGGTGGATATTCTTACGTCGCCACTACACGGTGTTAATAAACATTAATTGTATCATTACATTCTTGATTGCAGTGGATGAGACCGAGAAACCTCCCCTCACGCCGCTGCGTCCGAAAGTGAACTCTATTTTACATCTGTTTGGCGAATGGTTGTTCGAAGCGGCCCTTATCGGCACCACATCCTCGCCTAATTACAATCAACGTGAGTAATAATATAATAAGAACTAAAAAAAATTGATTGAGTGACAAAAGCTAACATACCTAGCAGCTTTGAACTCAGTGGCCTCTCCTCTTGGTGCTGAGATGCTTATTGGTGACCCTATTTTTCAAAAACGATTTTGTTGATTTCTAGGCCGAGCGCAATTTATATTTTTTTATTTGCATGACCTAGTTTTTTGTTCCTCTTCCCAATATCCGTCAACGAGACGCTCCACCCCTTTGATGTAGACATACTAACCTTTAAAGCAAATGGTTTGCTTCCTCAGTCGTAATGCGTGCAGCAAAGGATTGAAATAATTTACAAGTGTATTTCTATTTTATTACACTGATAGCTTCTAAATGGTAAGCCATTTGTTTAGCATAAACTAACAGTAACAAGTTAACATTAGTTGGAATGGTATTCAAGCACTGGCTTACAATATGTAAAAAAGTGACTCCTGCAACTCATGGATACGTGTCATGTACGTATTGTAACACACTATTTTAACCTCTGAGATGTACAGTTTCTGTTTTCATTATAACACTATACTTAGATTTATCAGTTATGTTAAGATAATTCATTTTAATCGACTCATTGTGATTAATGAAATATGTATTCCTTGTGTTTAGATTTAATGATCTTCGTATTACAGTATAATAATTGATGCAATTAATTTTTTTCTTTATTAACAGAGCGAGCGGAAGGCACACCGCCTCCTCCATCCCTCTCCGACGCAACTTACAGGCTAAATATGATGAGTTATCAACCAGGTAAATCTCACAATCACATAAGCTAGACTATTTTAACGCGTTTTTCTGACTTATTCTATTTCCCCGACGTTTCGAGTACTTTGCAGCACTCGTAGTCACGGGGGACTGAGATTTTCAACATCGCAATGTCAACGGGCCACTTTAAACCTAAAATTATTATTTGAGGTTCGATATACGAAGAAATAACTTAAAGTATTGTTATGAGCTTATGGTTCGTGACAGTTAAAAACTGCCAATTGAATTACCAAAAATGACACTTTAATTTCCGAACCCCAATTACAACTTAAAACAGACTAACAATTAATCACACTGATCACTTTAGTTCGCAGTTATATCGCTTCGAAGTATTCGCTTGTATTGCCAATTCGACACTGACTCGATCGCGGTCCTTATCGGCCTTACATAAGGGCTCTTTTGCTGAAACATCTAGAATGTTCGAGTACATACCGGTACCGACTGGCTAGGTGTAAAAAGTTCCAGTATGGAATTTTCTAGAGAGCTCTCCTAGTTCTGCTACTCGATACTAGATGGCGCTAGTGGAAACTTGCCGTGTACCAGGCATTAATTGTGGCGCGCAGCAGTATCTTTAACACTAGCAAGGCGTTACGGGTCATTTGACCCGAATTTGAAATTTCAGCACTAATTATTTTGTCAAAATTTGTTTATACGATTTTATACTTCATGACTTATAACGAATTATGATTGTAATGATTTCTTATATTTACCCGAACACTACACATTGATTGAAACTACTTTTACGGATTGTATCGCGTTTAATTTGAATTATTTTTAATTCCCGACGTTTCGGGTGCTTTCCAGCACCAGTGGTCACGGGGTCAGTCCCCTCCCCCCAAATAAAAACCGTAGAAGTAGTTTTAATCAATGAATTATGATTGTTTTATAAACAAAAGTATTTTCATTGTAACATGTTCCTACATATACATATATATATATATATATTTTATATATTTTTTTTTTATATATCCCAATTATATTTTAAGTTATGATATTTTTCACTACCATGACCACAATTTTTTTTAATATTTGTTTCTTTTTTTTTATAGGCAACCTGAATAGCACTGCTATCCACCACAATTCTTAAAAAATCCGGAATAGCTCTTGTTTTATCACGAAAATTAAAGAAACTTATTTTATTCCCTAAATTTTTTGAAGACTTTTACTTTTAACCAACTAACTTATCGTGGTGTAACAAAAAGTATGAACACTAGTATGGCAAGTTTTTTTTAAAAAATTGACGCAACTAATGATATAAGAAATATTTACGCGAACACTACACATTGAAATAATACTAGTTTTTACGGTATTTATCGCGTATATTTAACTTTTTAATTACTCGACGTTTCGAACGCTTTACAGCACTCATGGTCACGGGCAGGACTGAGATGTTCAACGTCCATATGTCATAGTTAACCGTGGTTACCATAGATTAAAATTTAACTTTTGTTCCGATCTATGCAGTATGAACTTATGGTATCTTGAAGTCTTGCAGTTGTATGCTTGGGTTGGGATTTAATTTTATTTATTATAGGATCCCAAGCAGATGGTAGCACCCAGCCATCTTCTCTATTGAAGTTAGGATGTTTTTTGATTTCAATAGCCTCGCGAATCATCCTTGGAAGGAATCGGTGTTCTTTAGCGAGGATCTGCGGTCTATCAAATCTGATGTAGTGACGGGGGCGATCCTGTACGTGTTCACAGACTGCAGACTTCCCGGAGCGTCGATTCTTCACATCAGCTATATGTTCTTTAACGCGGGTTTTTATTGATCTTTTAGTTTGTCCTATGTAGGAGAGACCACATTCACAATCAAGCTTGTACACTCCTGCATCTTGCAGAGGGACATTACACTTGACCGATGGTAAAAACTGACCAATCTTCTTCAGCGGCTTGAAGTATGTTTTCATGGAAGCGCGCTTCAAGATGTAGCCAATCTTGTCAGTGACTCCTCTAACATATGGCAGTACAGCAGGTACACGCTCGACTGTGGCCGGCTTCACTCGTTCACTGTGACGTAGGCGCGGGACTCGAAGCTTGTTGTCATGCAAAACTTGCTTGACATGCTGGAGCTCGGTGTTTACTGTCACAGATCCCTCGTGCTCTCTGAAACAAAGATTTACCCACGGTAGCTAACTGTGAAGGATGGTGGTGAGAATCACCGTTTAAATATCTATCTGTATGGGTCTTTTTTCTATACACAGTATGGCTCAAGGTGTTATCAGGATTCCGAATTACTTCCGAGTCACTACATCAGATTTGATAGACCGCAGATCCTCGTTCCCGTGTTTATAATAAACATGTACCAATACTCTAATGTCGAGTATCTAACAATGACGAGCCGATTCGGTGATAGGTAGATAGGTGGCGGTTGACCTGTGAATTGGCTGGCGAGATCACCAGACCTAACACCTATAGACTTTTATTTGTGGGTCTAATTAAAACGATTACTTCGTAAACGTAGAAACGTTACTTAAAGCAGCGTATAATAGACGCATTTAATGTGATAAAAAGTGATAGAGACATGCTTCGAAGTTTAACAAACAATTTACAAAGACGTACTAGTTTGTGTTTAGAAGGAAACTGTAGACATCATAATCACTGCGATATTGTTAAAAAGGTAATTTTTATTTGTAAATAATAATAATGTGGTATAATTTTGTAAATACCAATCAGTGTAGTTTGTAAATAAGTTGATTTCGATCTTTTAAATACGCCAAGATGTTGCAGTGTAAGGTCGGCATAAAAATTATTATTGTTTATCAATTTATTATAATGTAACATAAAATTTAACATGTAAATCTACTCAACTACAGCAAATTAGACGGTCCTAAGCCCGTAAAAGTATAAAGGAAAAATCGAAATCACAAAAATAATAATCTGAATCGAAAGGTCATATACCTATTTACTATTTTCTTTTTCACATTATTTTTTACTATTTACAAACATGCGACACACGACGGCATTATTAATGAAAGAGTGGCAATGAGAAGTGCTGCTATTTTAAATCTTTTTCTTTTATCGACCAAGTGTTTTACTAATAACAAGTATGTACTTATTTTAGACAGTAACTACTACTGGGAAGTCTTCTTACACTGAACGTTTTAAGGCCATTGACACATTATACGCGGAAAAACCACCACCAACCAACGGCACTCAAAATCTCTTTTAGTTTTTATTTTTGTTTATTAGTATTCTAACCCACATAGCCCCACAGATCGGCAAAGCTGTAGTGAGTTCGATCCCCACACATGAACAACGGTTCACCTACCTACCTAAATACGAACTACTTCTATCATACTCATCTACATTTGAGTTTAGGATTCGAGCTAATTATCAAATTTTGAAACAGTAAACTCTTAATACATTACAAAATTCAAATGCAACCCATATTTTTGGCCTTAAATATATATTTTTTTAGTAATAAATATATGTATATATATTAAAAATCTTTATATATATAATAAAGAATATTTTAATACAAATTATTATTTTTACTTAGAGCCGTGGTAGCTCAGATGGTTAGCGCTCGTTGTAAATTTCACAGTACGCGAGCAAACCGGGTTCGATCCCCGCCGGCACCAATGAAATTGTTAATTGCTATTTTAAGTGCTGATATACCACGTGCTCGGCGGTGAAGGACAACATCGTGGGGAAACCTGCATGTCAGAGAAATTATAAAAAAATATATATATTTTAAAGACATGTGAAGTTCGCCAACACGCAGTGGGACAGTGCGGCGGACAATTCCTTTCCCTAAAACCCTCTCAGAAATGAGCGGAGGCCTGTGCTCAGCAGTGAGACGTATATAGGCTGTAACTTTACTTTTACTTTTTAAATTATTACTTCAAAATATACTTAAAATACACAACGCTAAAGTTGTACGTGAGTTTGTGATGATGAGTTAAAATTATCTCGAATTATGAATTCAGTATAACGATTTTTCTTAAATATTATATCAACTTGCACAATTAATTTACATAACTTAAGTTTTGCCATGCTCTATTCTAGATAGATCGCGTCATACGACGCCCGAGATGTGTTGTAGCGGTTGTACGCAATTCTGACATACTTAAACTCCGGCCATTCGACAGCGAGGTTTCTTTTGCATATCGTCTCAACCTTAGTTGAATAGAACCTAATATGAATGTATTTACTTCATTCTTTAGGTTATTTTATCGCATTAATTGGTTGACACTTACTCTCAAAGGCGCCGGTTTTATGTAAAATAGACGCTAGGTGACCCAAACGCCAATAATTTGATAAAAATCGGAAAGTCACGAAATCGTGAATTTTAATAAATGGATCAGATATGATCATTTTATTCGTTACCATAAATTATGAATTATAATAGTGTTAGGTAAACAAAGCCAGGGAGCAATGAAAACTCAATGTCTCGGAACGTATAGACAATTTATTCAATATAATTATTAAACCCTATATGCATTTTCAATAGTCGAACCATATCGTGATATAAAAATGTGTAGCGACATCTAGATAGCTGATTACAAGATACAATTATAGCATGTTTGTTTAAGATCTTAAACATATAGTTATTTCAATAGTTACAAATTAAATTATAAAACTAAAATCGAAACTAATTAAATTATCAATATCTTTAAAGCTGTAGTGTATGTGCCTCCACCCTACTAGCATATGTTAATAAATATACTTACTCTTAGGTTTAAGTGTCAGTATAATTAAAGTCTTGAGTAGAGAAACACGTCTTCCTTTCATTTACCAACCGTTCAACATTACATGGCGACCCTGCCAGGCGGTGCGCGGCGACAAGCCACGCGCACCGCCGCGGCCTGCACAAATAGTTAAAGAAACATGGAAAAATAAATATAAAACTAAAGGAACAATTTTCAACTATTGAATTGACACTACCGGATGTGACAAGTAAGCCGACACGGAGACATAAGAAGAGGCGACAAGGTTATTATTTCTTGGAGATATGCTTATAAAACCTATTAGAAAAAGAAGAAAAATGTTACAAAAAAAAAAACGGGAACGATCAACTTCAGAAACAAATATTATGACAGCTTCAAATATTACATGAAGATTAAACAAATTAGATGGTGAGACCACAAATTTAAGAAAAATAGAAGAAACTTCCTGCAAGCCTTAACCGATAAGAAGATAGAAAAATTGAGCCGAAAAGAACAAATTATGAGGTAACTTCGCACTTATGTGATTTTAATTCTATTTCAAACTTTATTTAACAATTTAAGATTGTTTTTTTTGCTATTATGTTTTTAAAGTTAGATATTAAATATTCTGTATTTTACATATAATTAAGTTGAAATTAGTTATCAGATTATTCACAATATACTTTATTATCAAATATTTTATTACCTACAAAAAAAAACTAAAACAATTATAATACAGTATTAAAAATTAAGTTGAATTTTAAGCACTTATGTGGCACTTCTATTAAGGCGCCAGACCAGACTTTATATTCTCATTTATGAAGTTATAGTTTTGTATTATTTTTTTACTGTGTCCTGCCAAACAATTAATGAAATAATAAAATAATAGATTCCAATTTTACGCACTTGATTTAAAATAACACTGTGATACATTTCGTTGATTTTTTTTTCTCGAATCCAAATTTTAAATGGTTAGAAACATTTCAGTATCATTATAAGTTTTAATTTTTTTTAAAGGCATTAATTCTTAAATTTATATAATAACTTATGTAAAATATAAAAAACTTCCTTTTAAATGTTTGAATAAATTATTGTATCATTGTGTAAAGGTGATAACTCTTATAATGTGATTTTCAATTATTCTGTATACACGACATAATAAATAACATACTTTCAGTAATATTTTTCGATCTGTATAAAAGCGATATAGCTTTTAACGATGTAACCATGTGGACTTCTGAATAAATAAGAAATTAAAAATATTAGTTTAAGGTACATTTTTTTTACTCGCACTCATTTATCTGAGTACTACTACTTATGTAACATAACAAATTGTACACGTTAAGTTGACATTAGGCACGATCATACGATGCGATTATTTTAACGTTTATTATCAATTATATTTTTCATATTTTCTGGCTAAAATAACACTTTTATTTCTTTTGAAAGACAAGAAACTAGTTAGGTAGGTAAATATAACAAGAGTCAATCTTTACACAGTGAATATAAAAGGTCTGCTAACCATTTCTTACGAATGATACTGATGTTTCTAAAAATATGATATTATAAAATGTTATGCAATGAGCGTATCCTATAAAAAAACATGGTAACATAGATGAGAATTTTAAACTGAACACAGCGACATGCAACACATTAACAGGTGTAGGATAAATCATAACAACATTGTAATAGCGATAAAATTAATAAGTATAGGAAAATAAATGAGTAAATGATAGTAGTATTGTTACAGAGATGAAAATAATAAATAAATAACAGTGTAAACAGGAATAAAGTAGTTAAGAGAGGTTTTAATAATAATGGTTCAAAAAAAAAGTTAAACACCGACAAAGAAAATTTATTGATAAGAATGTTATTTCATTTGTACAAAAATTAGAAAGCATGTAATTGGTATGAGGAACGGAAGAATGTTCGAACGTGTAAATACGAATGATTTAGTTACTAAGTTTTGTCAATATTGGACTGATCACCCAAATATTGATGATACTTAAAAACTGTGCGACTTGAAATGTGTGAGAATGATGCAAGTTAGTATATAGAAGTGGGGCACGAAAGTATATAAATAAAGAACAAGGTAATGAAGAAATAAAGAAGGAATAAATATTTATGGCAATAATAAAAATAAATAAAAATATGACATTGACCAATAAGTAATGGAGAGATATGGGAACTTTCAACACTGGTTTAGCGTATAGTCCTCGAGCAGGGTACGTTTCCGTGATTGGACGATGAAATCGGAGTAACGGGTACTAGGGAACAACGCCTTCAGCACAAGTGATGTAACTGATTTTACTCATATTAGTACTGTTAGGGACCAGAGAAGTCTTAAATTTGTTACCCTTAATAATGGTACATTGAGGTCACATTCTTCGTTGGATCATGGTGCGAACGTAGTTTTCCTCAGTGACAATTGTTGGAGTCCTTTGAAAATGACTTAAACGTAGACCTCAAGGTTGTGCGCACAACCCAAGGTACATTTTACCTTGATATGAAATAAAAAAAATATGTACCAATAAAATGAAATGAATGTTACGAAAATGTAATATAATACCCAAATAAATGGGGGGCCCATATTTATAAAGTACCCGCGTGATAAATATCACGAAATAAAATATAAATGAAATGAAATAATACTCCGATTCCCGGTATCTAATAAATAAATAAATATATAAGTGAATAGAGAGAAATAGAGCTAGCTAAAGGTCAAAAATATTAAGAAGAAAAAAGAAAGTACGTACAAGAATTATGGAAAAAAGGCCTAATAATTGATGACAATACAGGATAATAAGGGGATCCCCGAGCAAATTAAAAAGTGTGGTAAATGTATGATAATCTAATAGTGGATAGATGGTTATTTTGCATTTCTATATTAGGACTATTAACGCTACCCAAAATGCTACTACCAAGTTGCACATATAACAGCTATAGGGTTTGATTCATACAACTACACGTAAACAAATAAAAATATATCAACCAAATATGCTAAATAAATTTTCACGTAAATTTATATAAATTTACAAGATTTTTTCATATTTAGGCACATTGATTCGTATTTACCGATTCTACTTTAAATAATTTTTTTTTCTGTCTCACGTTTTCTTATGTAAAATGTGTACAATTTTGAACTACATTTATATAAAGCTTATTATAATCAAGTCCAAAGGTTATCGATACACTATTATTGTAAATTGTATAATGTAATCGTTTTTTTTTTCTATAAAAAAGGCAACGAAAACTTTAAAATTGTGTCACCTGCTTGAAATAAAATTGGCTTTTCCAATGTAAATAAATATTTTGTAAAAAAAAAAACTTTAGCTGTGTACCTAACAGTGTATTCTCTTTTTATATAAATTTCTATCCCAATTAAGATAAACGTATTTCTTAGAAGTAAAAGTAATATTTTATTACTAACAATGCAACTATTTTTAAATATCTGTTCAAGTTTTAAGGTATATTTTACTTGCATTCATATTATAACATATTATAGAAGTTACTTAATGTTAGGTATGAATCACCACACCTTGTGATCATAGTCCGATGTAATTGCAAACGTAGCCTTATACGTACCTACCTACTTAGAAATTTAAAACGTAGGTGTCACAAACCGCTTACGCGACTGGGATTGCAAGTTGTATTTTGATTCCCGTTATTGCTGATAGCGATGATATTTGCGTTGCATTACATTATGTTTTTTGCTCTTTTCATATTTAAATGAAATGTAATATTATCGGTGTTATATTCATTAAACCTTCAAATCACATGCTTTAACTTTTATAAGTCATTAATTTCTGAAAATGTAGTAGAATATTAATGTCTAACCTATTTGTGTGGATCATGAAAGCAATAGTTAAACAAATATAAAGGTATAAATAAATTAAATATAAAGTATATACAATTATGAATACAAATGTGAATAAATATATATAAAGGTAGAGCAGGTACTGCTTAATATGAAATGTAATAGTTTATTTTCAGTTTTATATTGTTTGAACTTTTAAATCATAACTTCTAACTAGAACATGTAGTTAATGTAATAAATCTCGAGTGAAAATAAATGTAAAAAAAAATATTAATAAGTATATGGTATGATGTAGGTGGTATGTTCATGTTAACGTGCAGTTGTGACATTGATTAATATCAAAAATACGACAGGCTTAATGTCGTACTAAATAAAAATGTTAACGAAATAAAATCGCATGCGTATCACGGATTGACTTAATAATATGATTATGTATAACCATGGTATAATCTGATCATGATCATGAGATTATAATTTCTTTTAAATGAAGTTAGTTTTATATTTTGTTTAACTACGTTATTTTATTCCAATTAGAAATTATATACATTTAAAGCCTATGTAACAATGTATTTTATTTTAATCTTCAATATTAAAAGATTAAAAATAAATATTAAAAATTATTTAATATTAAAATTATTATTATGTTATAAGATTCATGAAAACTAAAATGTAAAAAAAAAAGTAAATAGAGAACTTTCCATTTTTTTTAAGTATCGGGGGGAGGTGTAGTGTATGTGCCTCCACCCTACTAGCATATGTTAATAAATATACTTACTCTTAGGTTTAAGTGTCAGTATAATTAAAGTCTTGAGTAGAGAAACACGTCTTCCTTTCATTTACCAACCGTTCAACATTACAAAGCATTCCACTGATACTTGTACTCCCGGGAGTATGCGAGCCGGTAGGCATATATATAGGTGGATGCTGTAGCTCATAGATATATACAGCTAAGAATCAAAATGCCGATACGTTGTCACCCCTAAGGACTAAGGTGGATTGACTTAAAATAAATAAGTATGAACAAATAAAAATGAACACAGCAGCATTAAGCTGCTATTTTACCTTGGTATTCTGTGAAAGCGTGGTCCTACCTCGGTCGGTGACCTATTCGTGCTGCAGCCGTAATATAGCTGCAGCATGGCTCTATCACGTCAACGACTGAACGTTTTTTAACCGTTGTATTTTTATCGTGCGCTCGAGCAGCTGTATCGTTGAAGTATAATGTGTGTGTAAAGGGCGTGCAGTGGCGCTGGGCGCATTGTGCCGCGTGGTGTGCTCGAAGCAGTGCCGCGAGGAGGTGCTGGCGCCGTACCTAGCACGCACGTACGCTGCACTGCGCCGCGGCCTGCGCGACCCAGCCACCGCCGCCGCCGTCGTGCTGCACGCGCACCACATGCTCAGGTGCAGCCCTGCGCGCTGCGCACGTTCGTATGTACTACGTGACCCGCCAATTGCTGCACGCGCACCACATGCTCGGGTGCAGCACTGCGCACGTTCGTACGTACTGCTTGACCGGCGCACTGCGCACGTTCGTCCGTACTGCGTGACCCGCCACGTGCTGCACGCGCACCACATGCTCAGGTGCAGCCCTGCGCACTGCGCAATTACGTACGTACTGCGTGACCGCGGCACCGTACTGCACGCGCACCACATGCTCAGGTGCAACACTGCGCACTTACGTACGTACTGCGTGACCCGCGACGTGCTGCACGCGCACCACATGCTCGGGTGTGAGCCCTGCGCACTGCGCACAGCGCGCTTACGTACGTACTGCGTGACCACCGTACTGCACGCACCACTAGGTGCACCTGCGCCTGTACGTACACGCGACCCGGCGTGCTGCACGCGCACCACATGCTCAGGTGTAGCCCTGCGCACTGCGCACAGCGCGCTTACGTACGTACTGTGCGACCGCGGCACCGTGCTGCACGCGCACCACATACTCAGGTGCAGCCCTGCGCACTGCTCAATTACGTACGTACTGCGTGACCGCGGCACCGTACTGCACGCTCACCACATGCTCAGGTGCAACACTGCGCACTTACGTACGTACTGCGTGACCCGCCACGTGCTGCACGCGCACCACATGCTCACGTGCAGCCCTGCGCACTGTTCAATTACGTACGTACTGCGCGACCGCGGCACTGTGCTGTACGCGCACCACATGCTCAGGTGCTGCTCCTTGCACATCGCCTTCAATCGCCTACTTCTTCGCACTAATATTTACTATAGATCATTTCGTAGTAAGAGTATTTGATGGTGCAGGTTGTTTCATCAAAACTAGTTGTTACGCGGTCGACGCGAAAATTATCGCGGGCACTGCAGTGGAATTGAGCTAAATACTGGTTAAAGAAACAATGTAGATCCATTTTAAAGTTACTAAGTCGTTTAATATTTACTTTTAACAGATTGGATCTCGACGGTGTATTAGTTCTTGTGCCTGACTTTATCACGGCTCTGGATCTAATACTGTCGGAAAGAGAGCCGAAAATCGACTGCACTTCGATTGACAAGCGGGAGTTAAGGAAGGCAGCCATCAGCCTTCTACTTTCTCTGGTGGCTTTCCCTTACCATTACAGAGGATTGGCTGTGCCGGAGTTTCCAGGATGTAATGAATAGTACGTATAGTATTTGATATTGTATAGTATTAGGTAATAATATCAATTAGTATTTTTTACTTTAATGAAATATTTGTGATGATTTTCTTTGAGGTTCAAGAGTATAGTTGTCACAATTACTGCATAACATTATGCTGTCATTGTAACAACTATACCGTTTGATTGTTTTGTTGTTAATAGAAAAAAGCACTTAATTTTTTGGAGTAATTTTTGTTTTATAACCTCTACTTAATTATTACAGTACGGACTGTTCGAGTGGGGGTTTTAAAATCTACTTTCATGTAACAAACGAATTTACAGTCCGCCTGATACTAAGTGCGCAACAAGATACGGTCAATTCTTATTAACCTCTTTAGTTAGTCGATTGCTAGCGGGCGTGAAGACTAGTTTTTTGTTTTGCAAAATGCAAACGTTGTTTTCGACTATTTAACAATTTGTGACTAAGAAAATGCTGTCATTATTTATGTGCGCACTATGTTAACAGGATTGAAGTTTATTTCAGAGAGTATCATAGCTTTATTTCGTGTTAACAAAATGTATATTACACAAAATCAAAGTAATATTAAACAAAATCAGTCGACTGAAAGGAATTAAGGAGAATTAACCGTAACATAGTGTGTAATGTACTAAGGCTGTAGAGCCCGTGTAGTACTATACGATGTTTTGACGCGGCAGCGGCGGGATGACGATCGGCGAGTACGCGCGGGGCCGGCTGTCGCTGATCTGTGTGTCGGCCGTGCAAGTGGAGACGTCGGAGGCGTTGGCTGTGCCGCTGCTGAGCGCGCTCTACCTGTGCGTGCTGCACAACGCGTACGTCGCGCCCGCGCACAGCCCGCCCTCCGCCACCTCGCACTCCACCGACTACAGAGGTGAGCACGAGCACTGAGCGCGCTCTACCTGTGCGTGCTGCACAACGCGTACGTCGCGCCCGCGCACAGCCCGCCCTCCGCCACCTCGCACTCCACCGACTACAGCGGTGAGCACGAGCACTGAACGCGCTCTACCTGTGCGTGCTGCACAACGCGTACGTCGCGCCCGCGCGCAGCCCGCCCTCTGCCACCTCGCACTCCACCGACTACAGAGCGGTGAGCACGAGCACTGAGCGTGCTCTACCTGTGTGTGCTGCACAACGCGTACGTCGCGCCCGCGCGCAGCCCGCCCTCTGCCACCTCGCACTCCACCGACTACAGAGGTGAGCACGAGCACTGAGCGCGCTCTACCTGTGCGTGCTGCACAACGCGTACGTCGCGCCCGCTCGCAGCCCGCCTCTGCCACCTCGCACTCCACCGACTACAGAGGTGAGCACGAGCACTGAGCGTGCTCTACCTGTGCGTGCTGCACAACGCGTACGTCGCGCCCGCTCGCAGCCCGCCTCCGCCACCTCGCACTCCACCGACTACAGAGGTGAGCACGAGCACTGAGCGCGCTCTACCTGTGCGTGCTGCACAACGCGTACGTCGCGCCCGCGCACAGCCCGCCCTCCGCCACCTCGCACTCCACCGACTACAGAGGTGAGCACGAGCACTGAGCGCGCTCTACCTGTGCGTGCTGCACAACGCGTACGTCGCGCCCACGCACAGCCCGTCTTCTGCCACCTCTCACTCCACCGACTACAGAGGTGAGCACGAGCACTGAACGCGCTTTACCTGTGCTCTACTGTAACACAAACGGTCGGCTGGACCGGGGAATGACCACGCTCTCACAGAATGTTTTCGTAAAATAGCAGATTAATGGTGCTGATTCGTGTGGTTAGTGTAAAGAACCTTAGACCCTTTTTGCTGAATACGAGGCATTCCATCTTTATCCTCAGTGGTGACAACGCATCTGCATTTTCATTCTTAATCGAGGTGGGAGGTATAATTCAAATGAAGTGAAATCAAAACAAACGCCTACTTTAATAAAAAGCGCCTGTTAATTATCAAAATGATAGTCAGTTTGGAGTACATTGCGTCGCATGTTTTATGAGCCGTAGTAGCTCGTATATAGTAAAGCTATACAAGATTAATTTTATATTTAAGTTCAAATTTATACATAATGATATACCGTCATTGCAGTTTTTGAAAATACGTCTTATGGACAACAACTACGGGTACGCTCGCTCCTTTGTGTACGATTCAATTCACAACGTTTTTGCCGACCGAGTGACCCTTACGAATGTACGTGTGTACGAGTGTACGTGCGTGCGTAGTAAAATACTAGGCATTAGATACTTTGAATGACAATCAATTAAAATAATGCATTATCACGCATTTTGAATTTAAAAGTTAAGATGCAGTGTTTGCGATTTTTTTAATTAATTTTTCTTTACAATTCGTGTATATTCGTTATTCTGAACCTTCTCTGGAAATTTTTGTGCGTGTATTGCAAAATTGTATAGCTTAGGACGCAATGAACTATAAAGTGACTAATTTTTTTTTAATGACGTTAGCGAATAGTTTTGTAGGGGTTACCGACAGACTGTACGACCAATATCGCTTTATCAAGCTTAAATGATAACGAGAAGTGAATAGTATAGTATAAACTCAAATTTTGAACTGACAACTGATAGGGAACTAACATAACATTAATCGAAGCCATAAAGTAAATGAGAAAAAGAACCGATAGTGAAGGATTCTCGAGTGGCAGCTTCGTACTGGCAAGCGCAATTTTGGCGCTTCCCGTCCCCCACCACATGGATGGAATACCTTGTGTACCTGATGCGCTACATGGAGTAACGATCACGGTACGCAGATAATCGATGGATACAGGTGGTCCAGGACTTTGTCGCAATCTTTCATATTTGATGTACAGCTACATAATATGGAACTCTTAGTCCAAAATCTGTGTTTATGTTTCACGTATAAAGCAGGAACATGTCTGCTTAAGGTTTTTATAATATTAATAAATCTTAAACATCTTTACAAAATTAATTCTTTGCCGAGTATTAAATAAGAAATAAGAACAAGAAATAATGTTCATATCTTATGTAATACCTACCTATCTTTAATTTTGGAATCGTAAAGAATTTTTGTTAAAGGCTCTTAATATTTTGTTAACTAAACCAAACCTCAAGCAGTCATTTTGCGTTCACACACAGATTTCAAACTTGTTTTAAAGTTCAAATGATACACACATGCTTGTGCAATATCACCCTTATTGACGACATATCATTCACTGCTTCACACACATCATCCGATACACAGATATGCTACGTTTTATTTTGCATTGCCTATGTCACAGTGTACTATTTTATAAAACACCCATTATATTAAAAATGTACTGAATAATGAAACATGTGTACATTCACACAAAGTATAACCTTAAACACAGTAATTGCAAATATATAATAATAAAATATATATTAAAAGTTCATATAAGAAATAGTTCTCTTTTTACTAGAGCATCCAAGCCCAGCTCTGAAAGTTTCAAACAATCAGGGCAAGCAGATCACCGAATAAAGATTCCAAAATATTTTGGTTTGAACTATTTTTAACTGTCAGAAGCTCAATCAACTGCGTAAAAAATAAGTGCCCGAGCTATTCATAATTTGTGATAACCAAAGACTATATAACCACTTGACTGCGCATACAGTACCCCGGCGCTCGAAAACTATTAGTATTTTGTCGCCTATGCATCGGCTATGGTACTATTAACCATTTTAGTATTGTCCAAGTGTTAGACCTGTGTGCACGCTAAATTAATGCAAATTTTTATAACTTTTATGCAATTATAATGCATCAAAATGCCTTCATGTGCAGTGAAGTGGTGTGGAAAACATTCCAGGACAGATGTCCAAATATAATGGAGGAAACTTTTCATTGCTAAGTAAAAAATACGAAAATTATTGTTGATTAATTCAGATTATGAGCCACCGCAGGGGTCTATGTAAAACGGTGGCCGATTAAATAACGACAAGGTTGAGTCGCACGTTGATGTCTTTTGGAAAAGTCTCGTTCTATTATTAGACAATTCTAATGCTTCTATCCCTTTCTTTCCCTTTGTATGTTTATCGTAAACATTAGTACTTACTGTTACCTTTAATAGCTGAAAGTCGATATCGAAAATAATAAAATTATTAAGATTATTCAATTCACACACTGTGAATAAATACTTATCTACTTTTAACCGTCTTCATTAAAAAAGAGGAGGTTCTCAGTTTATCGGTATTTTTTCTTAGTTAAAGTTTATAGTTACCTAGTTAAATTAGTTAGATTGGTGTACCAACTCAGAACGGCTTACAATTTCAAAAGGACACTAAAGACAAGTTATTGTCCGGATCCACTACAGTAATAGATATTTGTCGTCGTTGTAAAATTTTTAATAGGAGGGTGATCAATGAGAGTGGTTCAAAAGTGCTGTCTTCGAAATATAATACCAATTATTTTATGAGAACGGTTTTAAAATCTCTGATTAGGTATTATTGATTCCCGGATATTCATTTTCATCAATATGAAATAGAATCAAAAAATCATTTAATTGAATTAGCAAGATACATAATTTACAAATTTGTAGACGCTTGTTTATATTTTTTATAAAGAACAATCAGGACCCTCAAACTTCAATTCGAAATAAATATAAAAAATTAATCATTTTAAAAATCAATAATAATATAATAAATACATGTTTTCGTTGTAACTGATTGACTTTGATTATATATTATTTATATGATTTTAATTGAGTATTTTTCATAATGATAAAATCCATTTTATCGATAACGAATATTTTCCTTTATTAAGAAGAGCAACCCTAAAGATAGCCGTAACAACGCAACTTGACCATTTGCAGCCACGCGTTCTTCCTCGTCCCCCGGCCCGCAGTAGTGAATCGTATGCTTAGAAGAAATCTGCCTATACGCTCTCTAGTGGTTATATTCTCTATGGTGATAACCAATAATTTGTGTGTTTCCTGTGTGTTTACTTTGTTTGAGTAACAATCCAGGATTTTCGACGTAGCAAGTAGGTAGTCTAAACCTACGTTGTGATGCCAAGTAACAAAATGTCATGTCCCGCACATGACAGTTAAAATTGTCAGCGGACTGTCATTACACACGCACACTACGTACGTATAGGGTGTGCTACGTAGAATGTGCGTAGCGCGAACCGTACATAGCATGTGTTAGAACTAAAACACACTCGATACTTTTAACGTCGGGATAAATGATATAATCGCTCTTTAAAAGTTGGATATTCCAACTGAACTCTCTAAAGTTCTTTTTTTATCGTTTTTATTATCGGATCTGCAGTGCGGAAATCACTCCGCAACTGCGTATTTTTTTTATTATATAATCTAAAATAGATATGCATTTATATACTAAAACGTCGGTTTATAATCGATAATGATACATTTACGTAACGGATTACCCGACCGATTTTCTTTATTAATTTCAGATTGAACTTTATATTGTAATTAAATTTAAGTATACCGAATGTATCTGTTTTTTGGAGAACTAACGGAGGGACCTATTCACTTTGTGATTAAGCTCATTAATGAAGAATTATAAAAAAACCTTTCCCTTTTCAAAGTCGGTTAAAAGTGTCGAGTGTGTGTTGATCGTTGTTGCGCGTGCGTGTGTAGCGCGGTCGGACGAGGGCGCGGCGGGCGAGCGCGCGCAGGACGACTTCGCCGCGGACGTTAGGGAGCTCGACCCCACGTCACCTGCTTTCGGTAAATTATACTTTATTTTGCTAAACATAATGGTGATATTTGGATAATGCCTGCTTTTGAATTTACTTTTTTATTATATATTCGATTTTTACAATTATTCTAAGACAGTGTTTGCGTAACCTTCGAAGATTCGATAATCGAGAGTCGATATTTTGGTAATAAATTGTTTATAGATTATTATAAATAGTAAAAAATATGTGAAACTGAAAACAGTTGATTGTTTCGGTGTTATTTGTAAGTAGTAAAATCTCATAAAAACTTAGTTTGTTAATTTTTGTTTTCTTGGAGTTACTCAAAATTAATGAACCGTCGATTTTTTTCAAAAACAACTTTTAAACTAAAATATAGGGGCCACAACTAAATATCACCACTTACATGAACGTTGTTATCGCAATTAATTTCTCATAGACTTGTGTTTTTAACAAGTTTGTGTCAAAATGTTTTATAAAACTATTATTATTATTATTTAATAGTTTTGCAAAACAAATGTAAATTATTTGAATGTAATTTATTATTTGAAAAAATAAATTGCAGTAACAATGTCAACGCTTTTTACTTTATAATTTTCTACAGTTATTGCTTGCTTGTTTGTTTTCTCATTTTACATAGATTTTAGTAATCCTATAAATGTTTAACGTTTTAAAAGATAAATATGTAAAATTATTATTGGATGTGATCTGTATCTAATACCCTACTTCATTTCCTTCATGATTATAAGTTGTCTTTTGCAAGAAATACCTCAATCTATATGTTTCATTGCTATATAGATCACTCATACGTGAGAGGGTAGGTTATTTTTAATATAATCAATAAAAAACGCTACCATTTTTCATAACTTATGACATATAATATACGTAGCATGCTTGCAGTATTTAAGGAATATTACATAGCTGTTATAATAATGACTTTTTTGGTTCAAAATACCCTAAATTTGTATTTTAAGGTGATACCTCGAAAATTCGTTAGTTTTTCTTTTTTACATTTCTTTAATAATGATTTCGTATATTTACGCGAACACTATACATGATTAAAACTACTTTTACGGATTTTATCGCGTTTTTTTTTAATAAACGCGATAAAATCCGTAAAAGTAGTTTTAATCATACATTTCTTTAAGTTTAACAGATTACGAACCAAATTTTTGGTATATTATGCTTGGCTATATGACCTTGGATTGCATAAAAGGAAAACACGATATCATCAAATTTTCTCGTTAGAACAAAACAGTAAAGTAGACTCTAATTAGTTACATTTCAACATGCCACCAGAATATTTTTACTAATAAGTCTATGGAAATATTTTAAAACATAATAAATAATTGTATCTAAGTTCTCATAAACCATTTTTATATCCATAAGAAATATTTCTTAAAAAAAATGTTGTGTTGCGCTTACTTCGTTTTTTGCGAGCGCGTACTCTGTATAGCTATCTCATAATTTGCGTACATGAAGTACATTGCATCACTGTCATTTTGACACCCCCTCCATCGTACGTGAGCTTCACCGACAAAGAGCTAAGCCACGCCCCCTAAATAACAATTAATTTTCGAGGTATCCTCTTAATGACAGAGATTATTATAGTTATTGTTATTTAGACTTTTCTTTCGTACATTGTTCACTTTTCGTACATAAGATAATGTGTATATGTTAAAAAGAAAAAGCTGGTTTTAATAAAAATGTGTGTTGTAAGTTGTAGCTTGGCTATTGTAACACCCTATTTAGGAGTACTTATTTCTGTCTGATAATTATATCTATTAGTGGAGATATATATATATATATATATATATATATATATATATATATATATATATATATATAATTTAAGTAGTAAGTTCTATAGAATGAATACTTCGGCATTTTATATAATGTTTGAATACTTAGGTACATTAAACGAAAGAATTGATTTTTGTTTGAATTCGGTTTATCGTTTCGAAATAGGTATCTCTAAAATGTGATTTAGTGCATCCCGTAGTGAGATTCTATTTTTTATTCTAGAATTCAAGAAAAGTCAATTCTTTCGTTTATATCCTCTAACATTTGCATATCACAAAATGGTTAAAAACTTAGGAGCTGCGTTAGTGGTGAGAGCTACGTACCTGGTGTGCCACCGCTTGATATCCTCCTGGAAAGGCGACCTTCAGGTGTCTTTAGCAGCTTTGGAACTCCTATCTGGCTTTGCGAAATTGCACTCAGTGAAACCAGGTATGAACTACTTTTATTTACTTTATTTTTATGATGGTTCATATAAAGTATTTAAGTATTGTTTTTTTTTGCATGCTGTACAGAGTTCGTCATAGGTAAGGTTAAATGTTTTTTAAAATTTAATTTTAGATCTTTTCTTTGTGAAAAACGGCAATATATTTCATATCCTACTTTAGTAGGAAGAAAGAAAGAATCTTTATTTAAAACCTATATTTAAATATGTAGAAATGAAATATTAAATTAATTTCATATGAGATCAGCTGGATATACATAGTAAAAACTAACTGTTCTCCGAGACTTCGCTCGCGTGTAATTTATTACGATGGAATTTCATTGAAATAATACTAGTTTTTACGGAATTTATCGCGTATATTTAACTTTTTAAATACCCGACGTTTCGAACGCTTTACAGCACTCATGGTCACGGGCAGGACTGTGATGTTCAACGTCCATATGTCATAGTTAACCGCGGTTACCATAGATTAAAATTTAACTTTTGTTCCGATCTATGCAGTATGAACTTATGGTATCTTGAAGTCTTGCAGTTGTATGCTTGGGTTGGGATTTAATTTTATTTATTATAGGATCCCAAGCAGATGGTAGCACCCAGCCATCTTCTCTATTGAAGTTAGGATGTTTTTTGATTTCAATAGCCTCGCGAATCATCCTTGGAAGGAATCGGTGTTCTTTAGCGAGGATCTGCGGTCTATCAAATGTGATGTAGTGACGGGGGCGATCCTGTACGTGTTCACAGACTGCAGACTTCCCGGAGCGTCGATTCTTCACATCAGCTATATGTTCTTTAACGCGGGTTTTTATTGATCTTTTAGTTTGTCCTATGTAGGAGAGACCACATTCACAATCAAGCTTGTACACTCCTGCTTCTTGCTGAGGGACATTACACTTGACTGATGGTAAAAACTGACCAATCTTCTTCAGCGGCTTGAAGTATGTTTTGATGGAAGCGCGCTTCAAGATGTAGCCAATCTTGTCAGTGACTCCTCTAACATATGGCAGTACAGCAGGTACACGCTCGACTGTGGCCGGCTTCACTCGTTCACTGTGACGTAGGCGCGGGACTCGAAGCTTGTTGTCATGCAAAACTTGCTTGATATGGTGGAGCTCTGCAGCCAGGTGTTTACTGTCACAGATCCCTCGTGCTCTCTGAAACAAAGATTTACCCACGCTAGCTAACTGTGAAGGATGGTGGTGAGAATCACCGTTTAAATATCTGTCTGTATGGGTCTTTTTTCTATACACAGTATGGCTCAAGGTGTTATCAGGATTCCGAATTACTAACACATCTAGAAAAGCTAAGGAATTGTTTGCCTCTAACTCCATTGTGAACTGAATTTTAGAATTTATAGAGTTAAGATGGTCTAAAAATGCAGTTACTTTATCTAAAGGTAGAATTGTGAAAGTGTCGTCTACGTACCGCTTGTAGAACCTTGGATTTATGGGAGAACTAAGCAGGGCTTTCTCCTCAAAGTCTTCCATGAATATGTCGGCGACAATGGGAGATACAGGTGAGCCCATCGCCACACCATCTACTTGCTTGTAGAAACATTAAATAAACGCGAAATTAGTAAATATAATGAATGCAAAAACAAACATATAGAAAAATATCAAAAATTAACGAACAAGTCAAATGTCAAACATCTGAATCAATGCCAGAACCGAAAGCAACCATTGACAAACACAGATCATAGATTAATCGCGCTCTATAATCTGTCAAAACAAACACTGGATTATGCAACAATTAGGGTTTTATCCAAAGGCCTCAAATTTGCAATTACACCCCGCAAATTACCGTACGAAGAAATTATCTGTAGTGTCGAGGACTGTTTATTTAAAAACAATATGCGGAAAGAAGATTTGGAGGCGATACGTCAAGACATCTCGTCAATGTTACGTCGATGTTCAGTGCCTAAACCGAATCTTCCCAAAGACGAATTTATAGCGTTAAAGAACCTACGCAATAAACACGAACTTACAATTCTCCGCGTAGATAAGGGAAACGCCACGGTAGTCATGGATACGTCAGATTATAATTCTAAAATACAAGAACTTTTGTCGGATGTAAGTACTTATAAAAAAGGTTAAAAACGACCCAACAAATAGCACACTAAAAACAACTAGTGACCTCATAAAGAAACACTCCGAAAAATTAAATCTGGACGTAAAATGGATAATACCTACGTGCGCCAAATCACCAAAATTGTATGGGTTACCAAAAATACACAAGCCCAATGCTCCATTACGTCCCATAGTGAGCCAAATCGATTCACCAACTTACAGATTGACTCAACACTTAGCGAAAATACTCTCACTACTCAGGGGACATACAAGAGCACACATAAAGGATTCCTACCATTTTGTCAGCGACATTAAAGACCTACATCTGGCAGACAATGAAACTATGGTCAGTTTTGATGTGCAGTCATTGTTTACATACTTACCTGTTGAAGACTGCATCTCAATTGTAACTAGAAGGCTGGAAGAAAACAACATGCCCGTAGAATATGCAGTATTACTCAGACACTGCCTTACATCTGGCTACCTATTGTGGAAGGAGGAGTTCTACAAGCAAGTAGATGGTGTGACGATGGGCTCACCTGTATCTTCCATTGTCGTATTCATGTCATCGCTGAAATAAGAATAGAAGGAGAGTTAATTGAGCAAGTGGATGAACTGATGATCGTATATTTGGGATGTGTATTCAGCAGGGATGGGAGATATGATAAGGATATTGAACGACGAGTGAATGAAGAAAATAAAGTAAATGGGGCTCTACACTCTATTGTGAAAAGTCAGAATGTGTCAAAAAGGCACGTATGGCAATTCACAGTGCTGTATTAGTCCCTACTTTAACGTATGGTAGTGAAAGTTGGGTGTGGCAGAAGAAGCACGAGAGTAGAATAAATGCAGTAGAAATGCGGTCGCTAAGGAGTATGTTAGGGCTGAATCTGAGTGACAGGGTGAGAAACTGTGTGATAAAATAAGAATGGGTTTGCAAGATGATGCGGTGACTAGGATTAAGAAAGGAATGCTTCGGTGGTTTGGTCATGTAGAAAGAATGAATGCGGAAAGACTGACAAAGCAAATATATGTTGCAGAATTGAATGGAAGAGTCGGAAAGGGACGTCCTAGGCGGAAGTTTGTCGACCAAATTGGCGATATACTAAAAATGGGCCAAATTAAGAGTACCCTTAACCGACGAGCATGTATGCGTAGGTATATGGATGTGGAAGAGGCGAGAAAGGTATGTCAGGATCGTGCTAAATGGAAGTCTGTTAGTTTCTGCCTACCCCTCTGGGTCACAGGCGTGAGTGTTTATGTATATATATTTTTGCAAATACTGTATGAAAAATGTGATAAAGTCGACTTTTAAAAATACTCAGAATGACGCGAATCTAAACATAATTTTCTATAGCTTACATTATCGTTATTATGTTGTATTCTTTAAATACGAAATAGTCGTAGTGGTATTTGAATATAATTATTCAATTTAAGTTACAAAGTTTTATAAATTGTTCATCATATTATAAGTTTTTATGTAATAACAGCCTAGATTTTAACTAACAAAAGGCGATCGATTGCGCAATCCGTGAATTCTTCATCAGGTTTCACTTAATATTTTTGCTATGTATTTAAATATAAATCGTTTTATAATATAGATAAATATATCAAGTAATTCATTAAGTTTAAGGATATAATAAATAATCATACACTTATCGATCTTATTTTTTTGATAAACCCGATGTTTTACAAAAAGTCGCTAAAATGGCTTGTACTTGTGATTTTAACACCTCTAAAATATTACTGTAATCGTATTCTGAGAGAATAACACACGTATTTTCTTTTCTTATTTCAATGGCTATTCATAAAATTTAAAATATTTGAAGTGCTCCTCTCGAGTAAGTCATAAATTAAGTTTTGTTGACGGCGGGTCGAACGTGAGAAACACAGTCCCGACTTACTGGCAAAGTATGCTACCAATTTTTTTACGCAAGCAATCGAGCGGTTATAACAAAAGCACAATTTTAAATTTTTTGTCTGTCTGTCTGTTTGTTCCGGCTAATCTCCGAAACGGCTGGACCTATTTTAACAGGATTTTCACTGACAGATAGCTGATTTTATAAGGAGTAACTTCGGCTACTTCTATTTTAGAAAAAGAATTAGAGTTCCTCACAAAAAAAAAACATGAAATTCCGTAATGATTTCTTATATTTACGCGAACACTACACATTGAAATAATACTAGTTTTTACGGAATTTATCGCGTATATTTAACTTTTTAAATACCCGACGTTTCGAACGCTTTACAGCACTCATGGTCACGGGCAGGACTGTGATGTTCAACGTCCATATGTCATAGTTAACCGCGGTTACCATAGATTAAAATTTAACTTTTGTTCCGATCTATGCAGTATGAACTTATGGTATCTTGAAGTCTTGCAGTTGTATGCTTGTGCCCACAATGCTAAGAAGGCTGATACCACGGTAGTTTTTACAGTCCTACTGTGACCCTTTTCCCTTATATATTGGGACTATCACGGCTTTGCACCAGTCTCCCGGTACCCGCTTTAGTTCCCAACATAAATTAAACAAGGTGTACAGCAGGCCTGCCACCACGTCCTCTCCAGCCCTTAGCATTTCGAGTGAACTCTTATCATATCCGGCTGCCTTACCTACTTTCATGCTTTTCATTGCTTTCATTATTTCATCTATACTTATCTCCCTATCTCTTTCATCTTCTTTCGGAATTTCTATTTCATTTACTTCACATTTCTCACTCATAAATACGCTTTCAAAATATTCCTTCCATCTCTTTAGACTCAACACTTCATCATTCAGGATACAGCCATTCTCGTCTCGTATCGCATTCAATCTAGGCTGTTTTGAAAGTCCCCTGGTATTTCTTACGAGTTTCCAGAACATTTTAATATTTGCCTGGAAGTTATCCGATATTCTTCTATCATTCTTATCCGTTCTTTCTTGCTTTTTCCTTTCAACTAATTCTTTTACTCTCTTATTTAAACGTTTAAACTTTGCCTTTTTTCTTTCATTCTCATCATTCTTACCGCCAGAATTACCAGCTTTGGTCGCTACTAAATCTAGCCATGCTCTCTTCTTTGCTTCAACTTCCATACGTACCTCATCATCCCACCATAACGTATTGTCTTTCCTTTCATTCGTTCTCTCATTCATTCATTTACACACAACTCATCCAAATTACTTATATTTTCTCTCAGTCTGCATTTGTACTTGTCTTTCACATCTTCATCTTGTAACCTCTCAATTCTTATACGCTGTAACGCAGTGGTAGACACAGATGTCCTATGCCGCCAACGTTTGAATAAACCCCTAATTCGGCATAAGACCAGGTAGTGGTCCGTCCCTACGTTGGACCCCCGGTAAACCCTTGTATCCACCACTGCGCTCCTCATTCTTTCATCCACAGTTATGAAATCTATCATGCTTCTATCATCACCTCTTTCCCAAGTATACATGTGAATCTTCTTATGACGAAAGAAAGTGTTCGTCACAAAAAGATTCCTTTCCACATATACGGTGAGGAGGCTTTCACCATTCTCATTAATACTTTCATCACCAAACGTTCCCAGTATCCTTTCATAGCCAAGCCTCCTCACCCCAACCCTTCCATTAAAATCTCCGAACATAACAATATTTTCTGTGATGTGTGAATGATGATGATGACTAGAGAGACGCTGCTACCCATTTCGTGACTTGCTTTCTTGTGTAAGAATAGCCACTGTCCCATATCTTGCCGTGAGTGTCATAAGAGGCGACAGAGGGACATAATATAAACAGGTAGAGCTACACTGGAGCCAATTATGGTTGTAGCACGAATGGGTCGGCTAGGCGGGGATAGGACCACACTGTAACAGAATACCAGCGTAAAATAGCAGTAATAAGCTGCTGTTTTCGTATAGTAAGTATAGAGAACCGGACAGTGGCGAAGCTTCCATTAAAGCCGAAAAGCCGGGCTTGCCTTATTAAACCTGAATCAATCAATAATGTCAAACTAATAAAATAACTCGTAAAATGTTTCAAGCTATTTCAAATTTCCCGCGCACTCCACTGTTCGACACATGTCGACCGATGACCTCGTATTGCCTTAGCGATACTGCTGCTGTCATAAAAAATGAGTTTTAATAGAGCTAATAGTTGTCTCCCTCGCTCGCGTGGGCTTTTTACGGGGCTTTCGAGAAGACGATCGCTCTCTTTCTAACTTATGGCAAAATATTCTATAATGAAATGTAACTACGATTGTATATATAGCAATTAGTATAGAGATTTAAAGCCAGGCTTTTGGGAATAAATTTGTTAAAAGCGGAGGCGCGCGGGCAATACGTTTGCAAGTTCATTTCACGTTTCAATGTTTATTTACTCTGTGTGCTTATCTTAAGCGATTTAATACTACGAGTTCAAAATTTATGCTTTTTTAAAGATTTTTAATGAAAGTGGAGGATAATAGTGTTGCTTGTGATGAATTGAAGTGTGTTAAAGTGATAATCGGAGAGGAAATCTTTAAACTTTGTTGAGATAATACATAAGGTTAAGAGTGTATTTCAGACTTATCAATTATCGCAATTAAAAACAGTTATTGGTACAATTAAAGCGTTCACCAATATTTTACGTGGACGTAATTAAATCTTTCCATAAGAAAGCGAGACGATTCCACTTATCTTATCTCTTATCCATTAGAATGTAAATAATTTTTTTTTAATTTTGTACATGGTTTGTTTGTACTTTGTTCGTGTTTTACTTTTGTTCATGTATTGTATTGGATGTAAATATTTTTTTTTCTTTCGCTTAAACAAACCCAAACGGCTTTCTTCAAAGCCACCGAAGCTATGCAATTGCTGATATGTAATACAATCTATCTAGCAGTGGTATGCCTTCTGAGTGCTTTGTTAAATACGTCCTTGACAGCACTGAATATGAAACTGAAGCGTGGAGACAGATCAAGATTCTCAACAACAATCTATATTTTTATCAATTAATATCTTGGGCTTGCCCTAGCTTAGAGCTCTAGCTTCGCCACTGGAACCGGATATGCTTTTTATTGGAAACGAGGAATTTTATCGTAGTCCTCAAAGGTTCGTCACCTTTTTACATTTTGATTCTTAATCAGGGATTTATCAAGATGTCTATAGGGTCATAGCATCCATTTACCATCATATTCTACAAAACATCGTAGTATTCTATTAGCGTGAAGGACTGTGGAAAGTGGCGTGTGCTAATGCTGATGGTGGGTGTGTGTGCGTAGAAGCGGTGGAGCGCAAGCGCGCGGTGCGCTGGATCTGCGACTACATCGCGGTGCAGTGCGGGCGGCCGCCGCAGGCGCACTCGCGCGACCTTCACTCGTGCGTGGTGGCCGCGTACCAGTGCCTGGCCGCCTGGCTGTGCCCCGCGCTGCTCGCGGACCAGCACTGCCTCACCGCGCTCATGGAGGTCGTCGAGCTCGGCATCTCTGGCTCCAAGAGCCAAGGTGGGTCACGCTCGTACGTCGGACACTGTCGCCTGTGCCAAAAACTGCACTAAAATTATTGTACACGGATAATACACCCTATTGACTACTAGGCAGAAAAAAGCCCTTCCAACCCTCCTAATATACAGTTAATAAACAGCTTGCTGTTAGGTATAGACTTTAAATAAAGAAGGGTATAGAAGGCATGATATTTCACGTATTAGAGACACGCTGCAACTATATTATGGTTGTAGCACGAATGGGTCGGCTCGACCTGGGCACCACGCCCTAACAGTATACCAGCGTAAAATAGAAGCTTAATACAGATGTGTTTCTTATAATCGTGAATGTAAGGACCGAAGACGCTTTTTACAAGAAATGAGGCATTTCATCGTAGTTCTCAGGGCTGAAAGGGCATTTTGATTCGTAATTGTAGATGTCTATGGATCACAACTTCAACTTACCATCAGGTGGGCTGCATATTTGTCACCCATATTCTAAATAAAAAATAACAGACCAATGTAGTCTACTCGTATTTTTGAAATCTTCACATTTAACACTTTATAAATCTTTAAAATGTGGTTACTTAATGTATTAAAAACCATTTAAACAAATCTTAAATAATTAACATTTAATTATTTACGAATTTAGGAAAACCAGGTGAACCGCCGAAGATGAAAGATGAAAAGGAATTGAAGCCAGTGTCGATGAGGGTGCGTGATGCTGCCGAGTCTTTACTGATGCTTATTTTGGAACAGGTGATCTTTTTGTAGTAAATGAGTTTTGAATTTGCGTATACATTTTAACATAAATATATTTTGAGGCCGTTTTCGATGTAGCTTTGATTGAATTTTTTCCTTATGTTTTTTTTTCATATTAAACGTTTCAGTGGACTGGCTATGGGCCCTAAGGTCTATGAAGCTGTAAAAGTCGAAAAAGCTCACAGCACTAACAATCACAGAATTTAGGTGTTGTTTAGATAGTATGAAAAATAAATTAATAATTAATATAACAATCACGCAATAAATTATTATAATCGGGAACTAAAGCTAAAATGATTTATTCATTCCTAGTTTGAAAAATCAGGCAGGCAATAAGTTATTGCGCAAGATATTAGGACCGCAAAGCCGGTGTAGTAGTAGTTAGTATACATAGAAATGTTATATTGAGTTGGAGCGAAAGCGTGGAAATATGGGGAATTGAACGTAAGTTAGTGCCCAAAGTACTAGGGCCGCAGAGTCGATGTAGTAGTATAGATGGAAGCGTGGCGGTGCAGGGTGCGGGCGCGCGTGGGTGCCGGCTGGATGAGCGCTGGCTGGAGGCGCTGGGGCACGGGCGGCTGCGCCACTTCGCGGCCGACGGCGCGGCGCTGCTGGCACTGCTGGAGGAGCCGCTTGCCAACAGCCAGGAGCCGCAGCCCACGCTCGTCGGTACGCACGCACTCCTATATCCCACACGCATGCTCACTTAATGACCGTGTAGCGCCGGTCTAACCACATCCACTACCGCTTATCGTCCCGTGGTTGTCTTAAGTCGTATCAGGCGACAGGAGGAACCTAAAACAGAAGATGGTGAGCACCGTCTTTCTGATATCAACTCAAAATAATAAAAACAGTAGTTGAAGTAACAATAATGGCAAAGTCAGCAGTGGACTTTTTATAGGCTTTAGTGGATAAATCTCTTCATTTTCAAATATCTTAGCTGCAACCATGATAGAGTTTTTTGTTCTAGTAATAACCTTTTGCTTCAGTGCCCCCCTTTTAGTACTAACTTTGTCCAATCACCTTCCGAAATCAGGAGTGCCGAAAACCGCAAGTCTAAAGTGCGAAATTATTAACTTAGCGTTCGTAGTTAGCCGTGTTTATTATTATATATGGTTGCGCGGAAAACCATTCGCGTTTTTTATTTATGACGGTAGGAACTTGCTGAATCATTATTCCTTTCCAAAACGATATCATTCGTACCCTCCTATCGACACATCGGGGTGATGGGGTGGGAGGAAAAGAAGACGATTCTAGAACATCGCGTAATCATCGGAGCCGAGGATATATAAGACACGCGCGACCGACGCGCTCGCTTCCTCTTCCCGCGCGCTCGTTTGGAAACACCTCACTAGTGGAAACCGCTTTGGCCTGGAAGCAGTCGAGCTCCAGGAACCCGCCTCACCTCGTGTGAGATCGTCGCGCACCGCCTCTCTCCGGAGTGTTCCAGAAGTCGCAGTTACAGTGATCGACAGGATAGAAGAAACCCCGGTGAGTCAGTATTCCTTAATTTACTGCCTGATTAATATTTAATAATTGTTTTAACCCGTTCCAATTCTGTGTTCTCCTCATCAGGCAGGATTCCTTTCATCGATTTGGCAAGTAATAGTTTTAGTTTAGGGAAGAGAGAGTGCATTGTACCGCATGCTATAGTAGTCGCTTTTACGTAAGCGTAGAAGCAATCGCAAATACAGTCCACTTTAGTTAATATCTCGCGTAATAGGTTTGAGGTTTGACCGGGGAACTAGATTTTCGGCAGCCTTAAACACGTGGCTCCACCATTTTATGGTCCTTCGGCAGGATCTGGATTGGTGTTTAGTGGTTATCCAACCATTTTCTGGTAGAATTATTAAATTAATTGTTTAGATAACGCACTCTAATTTATGGAATAGACTTAAATAGTGTTCGTTTAAATTAAAAATTTGATTTGGTACTCGCAAACAGAATTATTCATTTAATAGCGCTCGTATTTGGTTAAATTTAAAGCTTATTAAATAATTGAAACGGCGTGATAGCAACCGTTTGATACGCTTACCCCACAATTTTGATAAAATTATTAGGTTTAGCAAACGACGCGTAGACTCGACCGCAACGGGTGTTCGATCTAATTACGTAATACGGCACGCCGAGTGTTCATCCTACGTCGGTCATGCGTGTGAGATTAATTGTGATTAATATAACTTTATTATAATAATTTAAAATGGCAGTTAGTGGAAGTGAAATCAAAATTAAAACGCTTTATGCCAAGAGGGACATACTCTTTTCGCGTGTGCAGAATATAAGTGATTATATAAAGAACATTAATATAGAGGCAGTGCGGGAAGCCTTTTTGAATGAAATCGAAACGATAGATACTTTGCGGATAGATTACGAAAGAATATTAGACCAAATTAATCATTTGGAATTACAAATCGACCCGAAATACATAGTGAACTACCAACCGCTGCTGGCATTCGAAGATATGTTGTGTCGCGTAAAAAGAACTGCAAAACTCCTACAATCTCAAAGCGAAGCAAAGCCGGAAATACAGGTACGCCCTCGTGACTCAATTAGGTTACCGCCAATAGATATTCCGGTATTCAATGGTGATATTAAGACGTGGCCCTTCTTCTTCAGTAGTTTTCAAAACAATATACACAACAACCCATCGTTATCGGACGCTGAAAAATTATATTACTTAATTAGTAAACTTAGTGGCAGAGCACAGTCGATCTGCTCGGGTTTTACACCTACAGCAAACAATTACTTATTAATATTTGAAACGCTTAAAACTAAATATGAAGATAGGAGAATGTTAGCTTCCGAATATTTGAACCAGATATTCGATCTTAAACTTAGTGTGAGTGTATAAATTTACTAGCACTATGCTTACATAAGGGCCCATATTTATAAAGTACCCGCGTGATAAAAATCACGAAATAAAATATAAACGAAATGAATTAATACTCCGATTCCCGGTATCGAATAAATAAATAAACATATAAGTGAATAGAGAGAAAGAGAGCTAGCTAAAGGTCAAAAATATTAGGAATAAATAAAGTACGTACAAGAATTATGGAAAAAGGGCCTATTAATCGACAAAAATACAGGATTATAAGGGAATTTCCGAGCAAATTAAAAAGTGTGATAAATGTATGATAATCTAATAGTGAGATAGGTAGTTATTTTGCATTAATGCTACCCAAAATGCGACTAACGAGTTACACATTTAATAACTATAGGGATCGATTTACACAATTACGCGAAAATGTGTTATGTGTGTGTATGTATTGTGCGCGTAATTGTTTAACCACATTTGTTTATGAATTTACGAATTTTTTTTTCATATTTAGACACATTAATTTACATTTACAATAATTCTGGTTGAATTTTCTATTATATGTTTTTTATATAAAATTTGTACATTTTAAACTATATTTGGTTTATATTTTGCTCATAAAGTAAAGTCCAGAGTATATCGATACACTATTATTATAAATTTATTAATGTAATAGTATTCTTTTTTACGTTTTTCTTTATAAAAGACAACGGAACCTAAAATTATGTTATCTGGTTGAAATAAAATTGTTTATTTTTAATGTTAATAAATATTTGTAAAACAAATTTGAGCTGTGTACCTAGTAGTGTTTTTTATATATATATATATAAATTTCATGTCATGAAAAAATGAGTTTTCGAAATTATAAATAACTTAATTAATGATTTTTTTGTTAATGTACCTATGTAAAAGTATAATACTTTTACAAAATGAATTTAAAATTGAATGTAGCAATCTATATATAGAGGTACAAACTATTGGGAAAGTTAATTTCATTTTATTTACGATATCATTTTAATGCATGGTTAAAACTAGGTACCATTACACAACGTAATCGAAAAAACGTTCCCATGAACATACTTAGAAATTAAAACAAAGGTGTCACAAACCGCTTACGCGGCTGAGATTGTAAGTTGTATTTGATCCCTGTTGTTATGATTAATTATTATGATTGCACTAGAACCGCCGTGAAACAAAACATGTAATATTAACCGACTATCATATTTCGCCAACTAACGGTCGCGTACCTATAAGCGAATGATAAACAATACAAAGAAAAGATTTTTTTGACCGGAGTTAGAGACTATATATACATAATTAGTAACGTTACCTAATTATGTAAATCGATGCGACAAGTGTTTGCTATATATATATATATATATATATATATATATATATATATATATATATATATATATATATATATATATATATATATATATATATATATAAACACTTAAATAAATATATAAAGGAACCAATGGTTATAAGTTATAACCGATACGGGATATTCCGCTTTGATATAGTTTATTTAGATTTAGTAGGGCCCTTATGTAAGCATAGCGCTAGTAATGTTTATACACTCACACTACAGTGTGATTTAAATAAGTATGTTGAAGTTTATCTACTTAAAAATAAGGATACTTACTATTTTAATGGAATTGGTTTTTTACCTTTAAAGTATCTTAAGGTTTAAATTTAAAAATATAGTTTAAGTTTAAGAAAATAATAATATTGTAAACAACCTTATATACGCCTTATAATAATTTTGATAACTTTATTTTTTTAACTGTATTTTCGTGTCTAGTGAATTAATAGTTATATATGAAAATTTTAAATGTTATGCAGTTATGATAGGCAACCTAAAAGCAATTTAAAACAAAAACTTAGATTAGACTTAAATTTGATGACAGTTTAATAAATTTAAATAAAGAGATAGAAAGTTATTTTTTTTTCAAATTACAGTGTTTACGATATTTTATTTTATTTTATTATGTTATAAGTTTAATATAGGATAGGAATTTTAATATTTTAAATAGTTAATAATTTTTTGAATCTTACACCAAGTTTTGTTTTATTGAAAAAAAAAAATTGTAATTCAATTTTTTTTTCTTTTTTGCCGATGGGCGTGTAGTGTGTGTTTAGTGTATGCTCATGTAGCTATATATATGATAGCCTAATAGACATTTAGAGTTAGTAATAAGCCTACATTCACGACCGCCAGACGTTTAATTTATTCCTCGAACCTCCCAACATTACACTATATCATCCGCGAACATCAACGGCTTAGAGCAGTTTCTAGATAAATTTGTGGCATCGGTGGCTGCACTTAAGAATTTGAAGTTTAATGACCTTATGGACGTGGTGTTTCTCCATATAGCATTAAAGAAATTAGACTCCGACACCGTGCGTGCGTTTGAAATGGAGCATCGTAGCTCGGAGATGCCTTCCTTTCATTCATTAGCATCGTTCGTGCGAGATCAAATAAAGGTGATGCAGCGCTCTCCGAACGTTAAACAGGAGATTAAAAGGTGCGTCGACCGTAGACAGACTCAACCATCTAAAATAGCAGGGTCGTTAACTTACGTAACCGCTACGCCGACATCACTCCAGCATACTTGTATAGTATGTAAAGATAAACACGGTAATTTATATAATTGTGCGACTTTTCGTAAATATTCACCAAGCGAACGTTATAAGTTAGTAAAGACAAACAACCTATGTTTGAACTGCTTAAGCGATAAGCATTTAGTTGCAAAATGCAATTCGAGTTCCGTATGTAGCAAGTGCGCCAGGAAACATCACACGCTATTGCATTTTGAAAATAGCAACATAGCGGCGTCAAGTAAGG